CTGGTGAAATAAAGCTAAACTTGAGAATTCATCAAGAGAAACAGTTGTTTTTGATTTAATAGAATAAAAGACAGATCATAAAGATCAAAATGGGTATAGTTTTGAGAAGGAGCATTTTGTTAACTGGGTAAAAAACAGCTGTTGAAATTAATTGTTGCGACATATTGTATTTGTAGGATTAATCGCTGGAGTCTGTAATATGAAAATTTATTTTCTAGAATGTAATGTTTCTATCTGTGTGTACAACATGTTATTACAAGAGTTTAATAATTGATGTTTTGTTTTAAAATATCTATGATCATTTTTGTGTAACTCAAAAATTTAATGATTTTATATCCCCACATTATGGCTTCATGTTGTGTGTGTGTGTGTGTGTGGGGGGGGGGGGGGGTCATTGTTTTGTTGATTTTTTTTTTCAGTTTGTTTTTTGTTTTTATGCTAGTAATTTTATTTTGGTTCTTTATAAGTGCAACTCTGCCTGTGTCGCATGTGTTGTCGTTTGTCACCATGTGAGAACGTGTCATTTGAGTCACTTCTGTCAAAGTGTGGCAGTGTCTTTGGACACGTTTTGCTTTTTGCTATTTTTGTCGTACTTATCATTGATAACTACGACAAAAATAGTCCCGATCAGCCTTCACATATCAACCTAGAAGCCCTGGAAAGATGGAGCAACAGTCGGCTGCACATTTCACAGGCTCGATCCAGTAAGGGGATGTGAACCTGGTGATGACATCAATGCAAAATAATAATATGTATATATATATATATATATATATATATATATATATATATATATATATACACATACAATGTAAGCTGATGCAGGTTAATAAAATCTTCCCACCTTCAGTTATAAAAAAAAATAGCCAGGTAATCTAGCTGGATTAAATTCCTTCATCCAAATCCTAAAGTGATCTATTGACCAAATAGATCAACTTTATCTAGATTCTTGTGCATATAAAACAAAATGTTTGTCCGATGTCTTCTAGTTTTAGATAAGAGAATTATTCATTATTAATTCTTCAAGACTTGCTCTTGTCAAAGGTGGACGTCTTCTCCTCCTCTCCCTCTCTGCTTTGCTTTTGCTCTGTGAAACTGCTTTAGAGCCTCTGCTACAAATCTTACAAATCATAATTTATGGATTTGGATTTGGTCACTTGGTCCCTCAACACAACTGATAACATTTCTTTGAAGAGAAGACAGGCGTTAGATGAGCCGATTTGCCCTGTTGGCACGCACGCAGCTGGATAGTTCAACTTGGAAGACTTGATGATATGTCTAACTCTGATGCCATTTGTGGATTTTAAGGACACATATATAATTGGATTTTTTGGATTCGGTTGGTTCCTGGTTTATCTAAAATCAAGGAAGTCGTTGGCAGCAAATTTGGACCCAATCAGGCTGCTTGCCTTATGATGGCTTGGTTCGTGCCTCGAGCACCCAGACTCAATTGCTTTTGGCAGGATGAATCAGATCTCGGGGATTATTCTCAGGCATGGTCCATTGGTGTGGCCATGTAATTTGGACATTTCGTAACTAAGTGGATCGACACATACTCAAGGTAGATGTCATTAAAGTTCTGCCTGTCCGCAAAACAATAGTGTTTATCTGAATTTGGCTCCCTGACTGGTCTTGACTGGCCATCTTATCTCAACCCGCTTGGAAGTTTTGTAAAACTGAAGCTCTGCCCCTCCCTCCCCTCTTACCAACGAAATTCCGTGGAATTTTCAGAGGAGCCCAGCTGAATAAACATTCTGTCATCATTTCAGGACTTTGGATTCATCTCTGGTCATCCTCGGGACCCCCAGAGTGTGCACAGATCTCTCCAGAGGGAACTATTTGAACTGAGTGATTTTATCTGAACTCTGCAGTGCCTCTGTGTGTTGTCTCTGGACATGCTCACTGCCCTTGCGCCCCCACGTAATATTGGCGTCATTATGTGCTAATGTGCAAGATTTTTTTTTCCTTACCATACTGTTGGTCTTCAACCAGAGGCTAAAATCGTGTTAAGAATTTTTCTTTTGTCTCCAAACTCTGTTTTCACCACTTTTTATTGTCTGTTCAAACAGGTCTCACTTGTAAATGAGTCTTCGAAGCTCAATGTGACTGATCTTTTTAAATAAAAGGTTGAATGAATAAAAAATATTCCTTCTTGCTTATCTTGGATTGTTAAACATTTTATCTAAGTATTTATTTAATAAATACTTCTTCAAGCTAGTTATTTTCCAAATGCTTATTCTTTATTTGTTTTGTTTGTTTTTATTATTGTTCATCATTTATATTTTGGTAAATTATTTTTGTTATAACATTTTTTTTAAGTCAATTGGTTTCCTCATTTGGGCAAAAAGTCATTTGTTATTGTAAACAGTTTCCTATAATTAACTAATTCCACTTCATTGACCTGAGTTGTTTTTATAAAATGGTGAATAAATAGTCAGCAAACTGACCTGGTGCCATTAAATGTGACAAAAACAAATATGTGTAGTATGGTGAGAATAAAGCATCATCTTTCGTTCTCCCTCTCTCACATCTTTTACATTTTCATTGGTTTGTGGGTTTTGATAGTTTTGCATCCTTGTGCAGATTATCTAATAAATGTCTTTATTCAGAAGGTGAACATAATCTGCCTAACAGACAAGTTTTTTAAAAATAAATATTCTTTATTATTGTTGTATAAATCATTTTGAATAAAAATGCTAATCAATTTATCTTCAGACTCATATCTGCTTTACAAAAAACTGTTCACGTATTTTCTGCAGAGTTTTACTTGCAGCAGAAGTGAAACCAGCTTCACTTCTCCTCTGATTTTAGTTCCCCTCTGATGGAGGAGGAGATTGAAAAAACAAAGTAAAAATGAAGGAAGCGAGAAGAGAAAATGACGAGAGGCCTGGGTGGGACATCGGTCATTCCCAAGGAAAAGGTCATTTTCAGTTTGAGGTATAAGGAAAGTTGCATTTCTCTCATTAACTTGTTTTTTTTGTTTTTTTTTGCAAATATTTATGTCTTTATAAAATAAGTTGTTGAATATAAATTTCAGGTTAGTTAAATTTTATATTGAACCACAAAATATAATCTTTCCAATCCATCGTTTGTTTAAACGATTAATAACTTTTTTGATCTTGCCATTAAACTGGGAAGTTGTTGACCTGTAAAATGAGTGTCCTGTTGCTTATAAGCATCATAACCCCAAGACAAGCAGTGTTGTGTCAACTGGACAAACAATTCGACAGGCTAAAATCGTCTAACTACTGGATGGTAAAAGCAAGGAGTTCGTACCGTTCAGCCTGAGAGGGGTGATTATTGAAGCTGGGCTTATTAGAAGATGTAAAACAGGTGAGCAGTGAGCTGCAGTCAGAGCTCACTGAAGGAAAACTGAACTGGAAACTAAATAAATTTATTTAAAAATAACAACAGAAAAAGACAAGGAAGGGATTTTTTTTTTTTACCCAAAACAATGAATAGAAATAAGATGAATGTTGGAAGAATTATTTTTTTTAAAACACCACAGAACCCATGACAGAAGCATCTAGAATCAGATGAAGTGATGAAGCTGCAGCTCCAAACACTCACACCTATTTTTATTTTTCTCAGGGGAAACCAAAAGGAGAAGTAACGTCTCAGTTTGCTGTTGAACACGAATAAACACACCATGAAGATGTGATCATCAGCGGTGAGTATCTAAATACCATAAAAGTTCATCTGTAAACGCTTTCATTTCCTAACTTCAAAATGAACTTGTTAACTTCTAGTAACACTTTTTTTTTTTTTGAAGAGAAAACAAAATAAAATTTGTTGTTGAATAAAGACGGCTCTACTTGAAGAAAGGCATGTCACCTATCAGCCAGTTTTAAATTAAAATAATTTTATGTTGAGAAATGATGGAATTATAGTCCTTTTGTGCTTTTTTGCTTTGTTTTTTTTTTTTTTGCAATAGATTTGTCAGTTTTGACAAAGTTTAATTGTTGTGTTCATGCTTTTCTTAGTAGTTATTCATTTAGATATTTTATGTTTTCTTCTCATCTATTTGCATCACAATGAATGGGAATTTTTAAAATGACAGTTGTGAGCATGTTTACAATGACTGTGGTCATTGACTGTGTATGATGTAACTGATCACGCAGAGTGCATATGCGATGAATGCAAATGAACCCTGCGTCAGGGTTGCCAGATAAATTTTAAATGTCTTATTTACCCCCTTTTTTTCTGTGCACATGTTCAACAAACACAACGCACACTTCATCTTAGAAAATCTTGCACATATTACTTTTTAGGTCAAAATATTATCATTTTAAAGTGACAGTACTTTATAGTTCATAATTTCTTATCTGGCAACCCGTCTGACATGGAAACAACAGTGTTTTCGTGTAAACACACTCATTTTTTGTTTATTAACACCAATAAACATTGAAAAGCACTAATGTTTCCAGTTTGTTCACATGTAAACGGGGTCTTATAGTACGTAGATCACGTTGACTTGGTTATTTTAAAAGTAGCTTGCATGCTAAAAAAGTGAGGGTGCCCCTGTTTTAGATTATACTGTGAATACATTTTTAATAAACTCAAATGAGTCAGAGAAAATACATAACAAGAAATTTTAATAACAGTATGACATTTTAATTGTATTGTCTTTGTTGCTCAAATGTACCAAGATAATGTACATTTTTAATATTTTGTACATTTTTGTGTCTATTATCATTCAGTTATTTTATTACTGTTATTGGTTTGTAGTGTATTTTTTGTTGTGCTGAATGTTGTTTGTTCTTTTGTTTGTTTGTCACCTCCAAAGACACCAATTGTAAATCTGTTTTTTTTTTTTTTCTATTAGGAGTGTATTGTGTTTTTTCACTCCACTTAGTTCTGAGTTATTTTGTGCTCCTTTTTGTCTGTCATTGTGTACCTGTTTCTTTTCATAGGGTTTATCAATGTAAGTAGAAATGTGATGTAAATCTTTCAGAAATTTAAATTTATGTGTGTTTTTGTATGTTCTCTGCAGAACAAGCATGGCTAACACAGGAATTTTGTCTTCACACTTCATTCTGAGACTTCTTTGTCTACTGCTTCATATGAACTCCTTCAGGGCTTACTCACTAAAAAACTGCACTAAAACTTATCAGGAGAATCTGTCGGCTCATGTTGTTTTGGACTGTTCAAACAGAAACCTTGAGAATATCCCGGACGACCCCCCTAAAGAAGCTGTTTCATTAAAACTCAACAGGAATCTCCTTCAGAAAATTAACAAAAAGGATTTTTGTGGCATGTCAAAACTGAGAATTGTGAATCTAGAAGATAATAAAATAGTTTTTGTGGATGATGGGTCTTTCACTGATCTGAGTTTGCTGGAAACACTTGTCATTAGCAACAACAAACTGACTAACCTGACAAGCAACATGTTTCAGGGTCTGTCCAACCTCACTGTGCTTGACCTCTCTTACAACAAGATTTACTTCATTAATAACTCAGCCTTCCAGTTTCTGAGCAACTTACAATCTTTGGATTTAAGTGAAAATATGCTCCAGCAAATCACCAAGATTCAGCCCATCCTACAGCTACCACAAATACAGAGGCTTGCTCTCACTTCTAATCAGTTTTCTTCTTTTGAAACTAAAGACTTGCCACTAAATCTGTCCTCAAGTCTAAAAGAGTTGAGTATTTATAATTTTGAAGTGAAAAATTTCAGCATCACAACACCAATCTTTCCTTACCTCACAAAATTGGATCTTTCAGGATATGGACTTCAAGCTCACATAAAATGGGACATTCCTGATAAAACCTTTCTGAGGAACATAACACAGCTTTACTTTAGGCAGCAATTGCTGTCACTTGAAGAGATGCAAAAAGTCTTGCAGAGTTTCAGCTCGCTGAGACATCTGAGATTTGGACTGTCGGATGAGTTGATGACAGAAAGACTGTTTTTGACAGTCTGCAAAATTCCATCATTAAGGAGACTGGATTTGTTTGACAACAATCTTGACAATCTGACTCGTCAACTTTCACGTTGCTCTCAGCTCACAGAGCTTGATCTATCTTCAACCGGAATAACTGAACTGCAAAAAGGTTGCATATCATCAATGACACATCTCTGGTCCCTGAATATGAGTTTCAACCTGCTCGTCAACGTTCCATATGATGTAAGACGCCTCCCCTCCCTCAAGATCTTGAATCTGAATTCGAATCGAATTTTTGAGTTGACCTGTGAGGCTTTTTTAAATGCAACACATCTCACAGAGCTTTCCCTGAGCGATAACCGCATTGCTAAACTGGATAAGTGTGTTCTTGAACATCTTACTGATCTAAAACTCTTAGATCTGAGTAAAAATCTGCTAAAGAAATATGGAAACATCTTCAGTGTTGCCCTCCAGAAACTCGAGGTTTTAGATTTGGCCTACACTGGTAACTCATTCCTGAAATTCTGTGACTTTCAAACTTTAGAATCCTTGAAACAAATGAAAGCTGGAATGTACTTTTTCGGAAGGGGAAAAGATAAAAAAAATCATGGGTGGAATAATGCCAACAATAAATCAAACTACAATGGTTTGCAGAGCTTGGAAAATCTTACAATAATACTTAATGTTGAAAGCACTTTCAAAAATTTTCATTCAAACTATGGTAAGTTTATTTTCCTCTTAAAATCTTTGAAAATACTCACAGTGGTTTGCAATGTAGATCATTCTGGCATTCCATTTGATGTTCCAATAGATATGCTCCGAACTATGGAACATTTGGAGTATTTTACAGCTATAAATGTGTATGCTTACCCTCTAGATGTGAAAACATTTCAGTTCAACCCACGTCTTAAGAGTCTGACATTAGCTAAAACGGACTTGTCAAAACAAAATCCTGAACTATTTTTATCAATCCCAAACCTGCAGATTCTTGATCTCTCAAGGTCTGAGCTCAAGTCTTTGAATTTCCTGGTGCATGCCAATCTTACTGCTCTCAGATATCTGAAACTGACTAATAATGAGATCAATGTGATTAATGAGGTAGTCTTCAGCTTCCTGCCCTCTCTAACATACCTGGACCTGAGCTTCAACCAGTTCACCTGTGAATGCTCAAATGCAGGTTTCATCCAGTGGATAAAGGACAACAAGCAAACACAGGTGGTAAATGCTCATCAGTATAAATGTTCCTTTCCTGTGGACAAACAAGGAACCTTGTTACTAGACTTTGATGTCCAGTCCTGTTGGAACGACGGCAACTTCTTTTACTTCGTCTCCAGCTCATGTCTGGTTGTTCTGGCTCTCCTCACCTCTTTCATCTACCACTTCCTGAGGTGGCAGCTAGCATACACATTCCACCTCTTCATGGCCTTTCTCTACGACAGCAAGATGAGGAAGAAGGGAGATCCTCATCAGTTTGATGCCTTTGTGTCCTACAACGTCCATGATGAGGACTGGGTTTACAGAGAGATGCTTCCAGTTCTGGAGGGAGAGCAGGGCTGGAGACTCTGTCTGCACCACAGAGACTTCCAACCAGGTGACTCTTTCTGTATCTCTTTCTGTACTTTTATCACTGAGTGCTGAATAATAAGATTTTATTAGCTGTTCTTAAATTTAACACCTTGTTCTTTTGGGAACAAGTTTTTGACACTAAAATGATTTGGGGCTTTAAATTTAGTCCAATAACAGTTCCATTTGTAAATTTCATGGGGAAATCCAAAGTGACAGAAAAGTATACTAGACTGGTAAAGGAGATGTACTGTTGGACTGATCGATAGCTTCAAGGTGAAGGTGGAACTGCATCAAGGAACAGTTCTGAGCCCCTTCTTGTTTGCTCTGTTGATGAACTGACTAACAGATGAGGTCAGGCAGGAATCTTCATGGACTATGATGTTTGCAGATGACTGATCTGTGGTGAAACAGAGCCCATGTGTGTGAGAGGGAGGTAGAACAACAATGCTGCAAGGGGCAGAGGTCACAATGGTGCACAACTTCAAGTACTTAGAGTCCACTGTAGGGCTGGGCCATATCATATCATTCACAATAATACTGGTAAAAAAAAAAACTTGCCTGGGAAAATAAATTATATCATAATATGTTAATTTCATGACGTGAATACATCATCCCACCATGTAGTGGATTACGCTGCGACGAAGGCATGAACAGAGACATCTGAGCTGTGCACTGTTTTAGAGTGGGAGGAACACAGACAGTGAGCTGAGCCTAGTTTGTCCCGACAGTTTTTGAGCCGGTCAGCGTGAGGGAAGACGTTGCTTTTAGCTTTTTAGCTAGCGCGCTACTAACTTGGAGTTACGTCAGTGCAGACGTGTGGGGCAGGGGTGCACGCAGCTCGGTTCAGTAGACTGTGTGCTCGGTTCTGTAGACGTGGCGGGGCACCCCGCTTGTAATGGCAGGGGAAACAATGACTGCATCAACCACCAATTTATGGTCAAGTCTGACCACAGAGCCTTACCTGAGTCTGACTGTGCACTAACAGCGACTGGGAACTGTGTGCAGTTCAAACATGTGTCACACGTTTTGGAAGTTATAGCTCATTTAAAGGCAACAAATATTTTCTTGTAGATTATATTTATGCAGATCTCAAGCTATAATTTTATTTAGGTTTTTTTTTATTTTTTGGAACTGCACCTGCACTTTAATTTGTGTGGTGGATTTTGTTCTATATTTTGTGCAGACTTTTTCAATTTAATTAACAGAAGCGTTGTTGTTGTTGTCGTTGTCGTCGTTGTCATCGCCGTCATTGTTGCTGTTGTTGTAAATTTATCATTATCTTCAAAATGCACTGAAACATCACAATATTATATTTAAGCCATATCGCCCACCCACTGATCAGAAAAATGGGAGAGTGTGGTAAAGAGGTAAAAAAAAGAGAGTCCAGGCAGGATGGAGTGGAAAAGTTTCAGGGGTGATTTGTGACAAAAGGTGTCAGCAAAGGTCAAAGGAAAAATGTACAAGACAGTGGTGAAACCAGCTATATTGTATGGTCTGGAGACAGTGGCACTGACAAAAAGACAGGAGAAACAACTGGAAGTAGCAGAAATTAAGATGTTGAGGTTCTCCTTAGGAGTGACAAGGATGGTGAAGATTTGGAATGAGATCATCAGAGGTACAACACAGGTTGAACAACTGGAAGATAAAGTTAGAGAGACCAGACTGAGATGGTTTGGACATGGCCAGAGTAGGGACAGTGGGTATATTGGTAGAAGGATACTTGAAATGCAGATGCCAGGAAAAAATACATCAAGAAGATAAACAGATTAAATTTTAGAGGACATGGAGGTAGCTGGAATGAGAACAGTTAGTTGGAGAAAGATGCCTGACTGTGGTGACCCCTGAAGAGGGAACAACTGAAAGAAGACGAGGAACAATAAGAAAAAACAAGTCCATTTGGATGTTACAAATCACCATACCATACCATTTTATTTATAGAGCACTTAAAACAGCTACAAGGCTAACCAAAGTGCTGTACAGACAGAACAACAGACAACACACGAAGCAATACACAAAATGAAGTAAATCAAAAATATAGACATAAAATCGATGCAGATAATAAATATGATGACAAACCAGTGTGGAGCATACAGGTTCAAAACACAGATCCTCTGGTGTTGAAAGCTACTGAATAGTAGAGAGTTTTTAAACGGGATTTGAAAACCGAGAGGGAGGGGGCCAGTCTGACAAGCACAGGTAACTCGTTCCAAAGTCTTGGTCCTGCTACAGAGAAGGGCCCGTCACCTCTGCGCTTAAGACGAGTTCCTGGAACTGTGAGGAGCAATTGGTCCGCTGACCTCAGGGAACGTGGTGGGACATACGGTTGTATCAGATCAGAAAGATGTGGGGGGGCGTGAAACTGTTCAGCGATTTGTAGACATACAGGAGTATTTTTAACTGGATTCGAAGGTGAACCGGTAGCCAGTGCAGTGAGGCCAAAACTGGTGTAATGTGCTCTCTTTTGCCTGTACTGGTTAAAAATCGGTTGCAGGAAAATCCAAACTTCTGTAATTTGCAGACACTAAAGGTTCTTATATTATTCAGTGCACTAGTTAACTTTGGATCTACTGGTAGTACCCTCAAATAAAACACTGTCTGCTTTTAATAAGATTAATATAACTCATTGTGTAGACGTATCAAAGCTGAGTGCATTCTGCTCGCTACATGCTTAGATGTGTATTTTAATTATTTTATTTTACTTGTTAGAGTTGTTTTGAGCAACCGTTATTATCTGCTTCCTGTCAGAATGTCAGTGAACTGAGACTAGAAAGCTGCAGATTTAGATTTTTTTTTTTTTTCTGGTTTCACATCCACTCTCACCACTCCCAGTAAAAGCAGGTTTAGATGTTCACTTGAACAAAACGCATTTTACTGGTTGGGTGGCACAGCAATTAGCACAGTATGGCTCAGCAAGAAGATTCCAGGTTTACCACCCAGCCTGGGGAGTCTCTGGTTGGAGTTTGCATGCTCTCTTTGTGCACAAGAAGGTTTTCTCCCATTAGACTTCTCCTGTTTACTCCATAGAACAAAAAAAAAAAAAAGTTTGGTTAATTGGTATCTTCAAATTGTCTATAGATGTGGGAGAGAGTGTGAGTTGTTGTTTGTCTTGTTTGTGGCTCCATAATGGACTCGTGACCAGACTAGGGTGCACCCTGCCTCTCGCACATCAACTGCTGGAGTTAGGCACCAGCTTCCTGTGACCCAGAAAGGAAAAGTAGGTAAAGAAAATGGATGGATGGTTGGATTTTACATAGTCATGTGATTTGTGGCATAAACATCAACGAACATTGCACTTCCTTATTTTTTTTTTTAATGAGACAGTAGTCTTACGTCTAAAGTCTTATAATTTGTTTGAAAAGGTTGTAAAAGAAGGATACAAATCAAATATCCAATATAAGAGTGTAAACAAGGAGAAGGAAATAGTTTTCAGGGTCAATGGTCAAGCTTGGCTTTTGGTTTTTTAGGGGTTTTTTCCCATTTTTTCACAGGACGACTGTGACTGAGTGGTTAGAACAGTCGTCCTCCAATGCAAGTGTTGGGGGTTTGAATCCACCAGCAGTCACATGTCTGGGCAAGACACTGAACCCCTCATTGCCTCCGATGTGTGTCCCATCAGTGTATGACTGTGATAAAGCACTGATTAGTCTCTTTAGAATGATTTGTTCAATTAGTTTTGTATAGCTCTAGTAGAGTGCTGTATGAATGGGTAAATGAGAGTGCAGATTTTAGTGTAAAGCGCTTTGAACGTCTTGATAAGATAGAAAGGCACTATATAAGTATAGTCCATTTACTTATTTTCAGTTCTGAGCCAAACTAAAACATTCAGTGTGTTGTTTTGTTTAAAAAGCCAAATAATTCGGGGAATATTTTTAGTTGCCTGTTTACCCAGAGCAGATTGTGTGCTGTCTCATGTGATACAATAAAATTTAAATCCCTTTAAAACACCATATTTAAGGAGTGGTGGTGCAGAGGTTAGAGACGACGAGCCTGTGATGAGGTCTTCGGTTTGAATCCCCAAACCATTACATCAAAATGTGGGTGGGAATGGTGAAACACCCACACTTGCAACCACCCTCATTTGTTCCACTCTGGGCCCTTAACCCCACAACTGCTCCCAAGGCAGCTCTCTACTCTGCAGGTCATTCTCAAAAAATTTGCATATTGTGATAAAGGGCATTATTTTCCATAATGTCATAATAAAAATGAAACTTTCATATATTTCAGATTCATTGCACACCAACTGAAATATTTCAGGTCTTTAATTGTTTTAATACTGATGATTATGGCATACCGCTCATGAAAACCCAAAATGCCTGTCCCAAAAAATTAGCATATTTCATCCCACCAATGAAAGACAAGTGCTTTTAATACAAAAAATGCCAACCTTCAAATAATCATGTTCAGTTATGCACTCAATACTTGGTCAGGAATCCTTTTGCATGAATGACTGCTTCAATGCGGCGTGGCATGGAGGCAATCAGCCTGTGGCACTGCTGAGGTGTTATGGAGGCCCAGGATGCTTCGATAGCGGCCTTAAGCTCATCCAGAGTGTTGGGTCTTGCGTCTCTCAACTTTCTCTTCACAATATCCCACAGGTTCTCTATGGGGTTCAGGTCAGGAGAGTTGGCAGGCCAATTGAGCGCAGTAATACCATGGTCAGTAAACCATTTACCAGTGGTTTTGGCACTGTGAGCAGGTGCCAGGTCGTGCTGAAAAATGAAATCTTCATCTCCATAAAGCTTTTCAGCAGATGGAAGCATGAAGTGCTCCAAAATCTCCTGATAGCTAGCTGCATTGACCCTGCCCTTGATAAAACACAGTGGACGAACACCAGAAGCTGACATGGCACCCCAGACCATCACTGACTGTGGGTGCTTCACACTGGACTTCTGGCATTTTGGCATTTCCTTCTCCCCAGTCTTCCTCCAGACTCTGGCACGTTGATTTCCGAATGACATGCAAAATTTGCTTTCATCCGGAAAAAGTACTTTGGACCACTGAGGAACAGTCCAGTGCTGCTTCTCTGTAGCCCAGGTCAGGCGCTTCTGCCGCTGTTTCTGGTTCAAGAGTGGCTTGACCTGGGGAATGCGGCACCTGTAGCCCATTTCCTGCACAAGCCTGTGCACGGTGGCTCTGGATGTTTCTACTCCAGACTCAGTCCACTGCTTCCGCAGGTCCCCCAAGGTCTGGAATCGGCCCTTCTCCACACTCCTCCTCAGGGTCCGGTCACCTCTTCTCGTTGTGCAGCGTTTTCTGCCACACTTTTCCCTTCCCACAGACTTCCCACTGAGGTGCCTTGATACAGCACTCTGGGAACAGCCTATTCGTTCAGCAATTTCTTTCTGTGTCTTACCCTCTTGCTTGAGGGTGTCAATGATGGCCTTTTGGACAGCAGTCAGGTCGGCAGTCTTACTCATGATTGCGGTTTTGAGTAATGAACAAGACTGGGAGTTTTTAAAAGCCTCAGGAATCTTTTGCAGGTGTTTAGAATTACGTCGTTGATTCAGATGGTTAGGTTAATAGCTTGTTTAGAGAACCTTTTCATGATATGCTAATTTTTGGGACAGGCATTTTGGGTTTTCATGAACTGTATGCCATAATCATCAGTATTAAAACAATTAAAGACCTGAAATTTTCAGTTGGTGTGCAATGAATCTGAAATATATGAAAGTTTCATTTTTATCGTTACATTATGGAAAATAATGACCTTTATCACAATATGCTAATTTTTTTGAGAAGGACCTGTATGTGCGTGCTCAAGTGTGCAATTGAAAAAATGTAGAACATTAATAGAGTGCAATAAAACAAAAATGTTGTGTCCACAGGTAAACCCATCATGGAGAACATCACTGATGCCATTTATGGCAGCAGAAAGACCATCTGCGTGATCAGCCGCCATTACCTGCAGAGTGAATGGTGCTCCAGAGAGATCCAGATGGCCAGGTGAGGAATCTGTTGTCTGTTATACAGTATTTAAAACAAAAAATAAAGTTATACGGATACAACTATATTGGATTTGTCCATTTGATATTTTTAACGTGATGTTTGTTGAAGTTGTCACTATGCTCTGACTGCAAACAGAAGTTGTGTTTGTAGACAAGTATGGAAAATTAGCAGCAAATGGGGAATGTTTTAGGGATTTTAAATTATTATTTGAGGACACATACAGATATGTTTCAAACAAAAACTTTGGAATATACTAGGTTATTCTTTCTTCTGCCTTCTTGCAGCTTTCGCCTGTTTGATGAACAGAAGGATGTGTTGATCCTGCTGTTTCTGGAGGAGATCCCTCCTCATTATCTGTCTCCATACTACCGCATGAGGAAGCTGGTAAAGAAACGCACCTACCTGAGCTGGCCTCAGGCTGCACAACACCCAGGAGTCTTCTGGCAGAATGTCCAGAGAGCTCTGCAGACAGGAGACGCTCTGACTGAGGACACAGACCTGCTGACCGGACCAACAGGACGCTGAGGAACGGAGCAGAACTGGAACTTTGGATGGAAGGTTTTCTGATGTATTTTTTAACAGTCTTAGTAGTAGCCTTGTGTTCATGGTTAGGTTTATCCCTTTTTTGATTATTTTAAGTTCTGCTCCTCAGAGTTTTCCAGTTCTCTCAGTTCAGTTTGTCCCAGTACTTTTCCTCAGTTCAGCTCCTGCCACGCCCGCTCACACCTGCTCCCTGTCTCGTTAAGCTCAGCTGTTTTCCAGTTCTTGTTAAACTTCAGTCCATATCATTCAGTTCCTCAGTGGAGCATTGTGTGCTGTTAAGAACATGTCTGGTTCCTTTGTACCGCCTCAGTGATCCCAGAATCTGTTCCTCAGGTTCTTGTAAACAGTTTGCCGCCTCGTCAGCTTGTTTTTTTTTTTGTTCTAAATAAATTAGGCTATATTTTTAGAGCTCTTGGTGTCAGCCTGCTCTCCTGGGTTCAATTCTACAAACCGTGATGACACCAGGGTCACTTTGGGGTTTTATGTATACTGTATATTCAACCCTGTATGTATAGTTTTGACTCTGTATAGATTAGAGAAAATCCACAAATTCAAACTTGTGAACCCAATTCTTGTTTTTAAAATCATTTAAGCTTGATGTTAAATCAATCCACTTAAGTTAAATAAATCACTAAAAACCAAAAATAATTATATGAGTGAAACTTTGTTCTGTATCTGTAATAACATATACAGTAGTGTATTACCAAAAGTTGTATAATATATAGTTTTGTCTTATTGTACGTCTTTTCTATGTTAAATGCTTCTGTATGTCACTTTTTGTTACATTTTCTTTTAAATACCATTTTCTTTTTGCTTGTCATTCTCAATTTGTATGCAGCTTTTATGATTGTCTGTTTTTGCCTTTGTTGTCCACTGTTGTCATCGCTCTTTGTTAAAACCAGGTCTCACTTGTAAATGAGTCCCCGAGGCTCAATGGGATTAACCTGTATAAATAAATGTTGAATGAATTTGCAGAGCTCCCAGACTAATATTATTGTATAATATGACCTTTTTTAAATAAAAACTTACAATCTTGTTTAATTTTAACTATTACTTTTTTTTCCCCATTCATCCATCCATTTTCTTCTGCTTATCCTGGGTTGGGTCGTGGGGGTAGCAGCCTAAGTAGGGAGGCCCAGACTTCCCTCTCCCCAGACACTTGGTCTAGCTCCTTCGGGGGAATCCTGAGGCATTCCCAGGCCAGCCGAGAAACATAGTCCCTCCAGCGTGTCCTGCGTTTTCCTCTGGGTCTCCTCCCGATGGGATATGTCCGTAACACCTCACCAGGGAGGCATCCAGAAGGAATCCTAAACAGATGCCCGAGCCACCTGAACTGGCTCCTCTCAACGTGGAGAAGCAGCAGCTCTACTGAGTCCCTCCTGGATGATCGAGCTTCTCACCCTATCTCTAAGGGAGAGCCCAGACACCCTGCGGAGAAAACTCATTTCGGCCGCTTGTATCCAAGATCTCGTTCTTTCGGCAACAACCCAAAGCTCATGACCATAGATGAGGGTAGGAACGTAGATCGATCGGTAAATTGAGAGCTTTGCCTTTTGACTCAGCTCTCTCTTCAACACGACAGACCTGTGCAGTGCCCACTTCACTGCAGACACTGCACCTATCCGCCTATTGATCTCACGTTCCATTTTTCCCTCATTTGTGAAGAAGACCCCAAGATACTTGAACTCCTCCACTTGGGGCAGGACCTCCTTCCTGACCGGGAGAGGGCACTCTACCCTTTTCCGGCTCAAGACCATGGCCTCGAATTTGGAGGAACTGATGCTCGTCCCAGCCGTGTCGCACTCGGCTGCGAACCGCTCCAGCGGGTGGTATATTCGTGTCTTCAAAGCGTGCATAGAACTTGTTGAGGGCATCAGGCAGAGATGGGTCTTTGGGGCATTGTTCGCTCCTTCCTTTATAATCTGTTATGCACTTAATGCCCCTCCACATGCTCTGAGAGTCTTGCGAGGTGAATTGACCCTCGATCCTCTGTGCATATGTGGCCTTGGCCTTCTTAATACCAGCAACCAGCTCTTTCCTTGTCCTACTCAGCTCCTCTGAGTTTCCAGACGTGAAGGCAGTGTTCCTGGCTGCCAGCAGGTTACGCACCTCTGCATTCACCCAAGGTTTTCTGTTTGGGTAGCTTTTAACATATCTGATAGTGGAGACGGTATCAGTACATGTACTAATGTAACCCAGAATTGAGGATGTGTATTGGTCCAGATCAAGCGATCCTCGATTTTCAGCAGCTTCTCTGCAAACCTGCTAGTCTGTTCGATCAAAACAATCTCTCAGTATGGGGCCACTGTCCAGGATCTAACATGTAACATTCTTTTGTACCGGTCTGGAGCGTCTCAGCAGGGGCATGTAAGCAGGAGCCAGAAAGATTGAGATGTGGTCTGACTGTCCTAGGTGGGGGCGGGGTTCGGCTTTGTATGCATCTTTTACGTTCGTGTAAACAGGTCCAGCGTGTGGTCTCCACGTGTTGGAATCGCCACATGTTGATAAAAGCTTGGGAGACGGTCCTTTAAATTCATGTGATTAAAGTCTCCGACTACCAAGTAAAGCGCCTCAGGGTGTTTGTTCTCCAGCGAGCTGATTATATCATGTAGCTCCTAGTGATTCATTAGCATTAGCGTCCAGAGGAATGTAAATAACCGTGATGAAAGTCACTGTGAACTTGCGGGGTAGATAATGTGGCCGGCGCTTCACTGTTATTTGCTCCAAAGCCTTCGAGCATGAGCTATTTACAACAGTACAGTTTGTGCTCAAACTTTTATTCACGTAAATGCACACTCCGCCTCCCCGTGATTTCCCCGTTAGCTCGCTGCAGCGGTATGCTCGAAAAAAAAGTCTGTCATCCAGCTGGAAGACTGGATCCGGTGTTTCGCTTGTAATCCACGTATCTGTGAGGCAAAGCACCGCACACTTCTTCATCTCTTCTGAGGCGCTCGCTCTCAGACGAAGTAAATCCATTTTGTTGTCCAACGAGTGGATGCTCGACAGAAAGAGAGACGGCATCGGGAGTTTTCCGGCTTTAGTGTTAGCTTGTAGCCTCACCATAACCCCCGCCTGGCATCCTCTCCTCTTAAGCTGGGAGCAGTGCTTCCTCTTCTGTCCACTGGAACGCCTCTGCTGCAGCTTCTAGGTAGATGACTTTAAGATCTGCATTCTTCCGAGCATATATATATATATATATATACATATACATATATATATATATATATATACATATATATATATATACATATATATATATACATATATACATATATATATATATGCTCGGAAGAATGCAGATCTTAAAGTCATCTACCTAGAAGCTGCAGCAGAGGCTGGAGACGTCATTTCATTGATATTTTAAGAATAATAGACTCTGACGCTGCCACAGTTACACCAGCACATTGCAACATTTTATTAAATCTCTCCAATGCACAATTATCAATCTTTATTCAAAAACATGTAAGCATAAATACATTTTCAAACCAAACATAGAAAGTTGATGAATTTTAAAAACATGTTTTTTTTTATCACAGTAACGTAGTTTCTTTAACACTAGTCACTGGAGTTCTTCGGTGTGTGCCACTAAAAGCTTAACGCCTAATTGGAGCAGAATTGCAAAATGCCACATGAGGTCACTGTCCCCAGCTCACTCGATGCTCACTTTTCTGACCGAGTTCCTTTGCAAAGAGAAAATAAATTTTAAGACAATTTGTTTCCTCATTTCTTTCTTTAAAGAGTCTCTGCATTGCTAATTCCCATATCAGCAGCCAAAACCATATTTTTAGGAGAAGTCAAGGGAGCAGAACATGCAGCCATCAGAGGACAAAGATTAGACACAGGAGGAATGGAAAGACTCTTTATACAAACACAGACGAGACAAGATGACAACACCTGTGGTGGTTGGAAGTGAAGACAGGTGTGTGACGGGAACTGAGCACCAAGGCCGTGCAGGAGCTAAAGCAAACCACGAGAGGGAGACACGTTGTGAGTGAAGGAGAAGAAACAGAAACCCCACATTATGTTGGTTTCGGATTGTTGTTTTGTTTTATTTTTTCCTAGTTTCAGCTGAGATGAAGACGTGGGAGGAAAAAAGAAAGACACAAAACTTAAAAATACAAGAAATGATTGAAACATGTTTGTTTTAATGTTTCTTGTTTGTGCATTGATGATGTGCAAAAACCGCATGCATAAATAAGGGTTGTTGATTTTCGAGGATTCGCATAAGGTCTTTTAAATATCTTAAAATAATGCATCAACCCAATATTCATCAACAGATTGTTTCACTTGAAAAAAATAAAAATTAATATTTGGTCAGTAATCAAGATGCTCGGTCCAATATGTATAAAACAGTTTTTGTTGCTGTTTATCTTTAATTATGCCCCAATGTCTCCTTCTTTTATTACACGAACGCTAACATTTGTTAAATAATCTTTAAATTCCTTCACATTTTATTTGATGGTTTGATTGAACTGTGGAGAAGCTTGTCAATGAAATCAGCTGAAATATTTACAGTTTGACGTTTTCCAAAAGACACTTGGAGTGCAGGGCCACAGGGGAAGTAAATGAATGACGCGTCTGCTTTTTCTTGGTGATTAGGGAAGTGAAGTTTCTTGTGTCTGATGGTCCAGTGAAGGTTCGGCTCTCTGGTTCTGTTCCTCTTGAAACAGTCCAGCAGAAGACCTGCTCATCAGCTGTGAGTACCAGACAGATTCATCAGTTTGTGACTGAATAAGACGTTGGTTTTAACATTTTAATTAAGACCAGAACTTTATGGGTCTGATTCTGTTGACCAATTTTAGCTAAACTAATTAAACAATGTATTAATTTAATACGGAGAAGAAATGAGCTTATTACTAATATGGTTTATCTAAATATCAAGAACAATTTGATTTAAAGACCAAAGTAGTTTTTTGTAAATGGGGGATAAATTCTCACTGTTGAATTGAAGTATTTTAATTTCTGTATGATGCGTTTTCATCTAGTGGTGATCATAAACCCTGTTTTATATTAGGTTCATTACAACAAAACACATTAAAATGAGCTCAGCTGATCACTTTATAAATCCTAAAATCAGTTTTACATTAACAACACACACACACACTAGCACCAACTGGTGACAAATGAATGAAAAACAAACAGGAGATAAATAAATAAATGAAATAGTTAAGATAAAACTAATAATGTCATGAAATACAACACGCGTTACTGTATAAGTATGTATACGCAGGTCAAGCCACATCACTGTGGTGCTCATTTCTGAATGATTTGATTCTCTGCACGTTCGACAGGTCCAGGTCGCTTCAAATGATCCAACCTCTCCAAAGTTAGCCCAATTAATTGTTTTAGTTTAAGAAAATAAAGGAGCTCTCTGATACATATGTAGGTGGAGCTGTACATTTCCTGTTGAGCGGTTTTAGCCTCCTAGCTAGAGTTGTGAATGTTAAGTCCTTTTATTTATTCATTTATTGTTTATTTTTTTTAGAATTTTTTTACATTCCCCATTTATTGCTTATTTTCCATGCATGTCGACAAACTATATTTAGAACAAGTGAGGAAGGCCATGCAAAAAAAAATCCATATAAGTCAAATTAACGCGGTTTATTTATACAGCGCCAAGTCACAACAGAAGTCATCTCAAGGCACTGAGCAGAAATTCATTCATAAAAATAAGTTAACAGAAACATTCATATATAAAAATAATCACTTAACGTTATTTATCTGAGGAGCAGACTGCTTTGAGTTTAACTCCATCACAGACTCTCATCTTGAGCAAACATGAAGGCGACAGTGAAAAGAAAAACTCGTGAGGAAGAAACTTTTAGCAGAACCAGACTCAGGACGAGCGGCTGTCTGCTTCAACCGGCTGGGTTTGGTAAGAACAGATACACAATGGCAGGTCAAGAATCAAAGATCCAATGTTCTTTATTGTCATTCACATCACATGTGGTACATGAGGTGGAACAAAACTATATACACAGGGTCCCAGTTGCATGCAATAAAAATGCAAATAAATACAAAATAAAATGAATTGTAATGCATGCATGTTGACAAAATATGCTTTTAAGACGGTCTTAATCCTGTTTGTCTTTCATTAGTTTGTCACTAAAAAAAGTACAATCAAATAGTAAATACAAAAATACAAATCACATGTTAAGATAGAAATAGTATCACATGAAAAATATTAAATTTTAGCAAATCATTTAAGGAAATGAGGCCAATTTGTCCTCCAGTAGTCTAAGCTTAAGATAGCTTAACAAACTGATCCTAATTATAGGATTTTTCAAAAAGGAAAATCTTAATCCTTGTCTTAAAACTGGACAATGCGTCAGCCTCATGGACAGAAACTGGAAGTTGGTTCCACAAGAGAGGAGCCTGAGAACTGAAAGATCTTCCTCCCATTCTGCTTTTGGAAACTCTAGGAACCGCGAGTAAGCCTGCAGTCTGAGAGCGACGTGCTCTGGTAGGAAAATATGGAACGATAAGATCTGTAATATAAGATGGAGCTAGGTTGTTGATAGTTTTGTAGGTTAGAAGTAATATTTTGAATTCTGGATTTGACAGGGAGCCAGCGGAGAGAAGCTAAAACTGGAGAGATATGATCTCTCCCACTAACTCCAGTTAAAAACTCTGGCAGCAGCATTTTAGATTGAACCGTTTGCTCCAACAGTGACTCTCATAGCTGTTTTAGTATATCATACCTTTATCGAAATGAGATCACTCAAACTTCACTGTATTTTTATTAAAATATTTGTTGTGTGTTGATGTTTCTACAGGCGATCCTTGAACACCACTGACCTCACAATAACCGAACAAACATGGCTGCCGTTGGAAGTTCGTCGTCTCGCTTCGTTTTGAAACTTCTCTTTCTCCTGATTCATTTTGTCCCCTCACTGACCTTTTCACTAAAGGATTGCAACATAGATTATCAGGAAAATCCATCTTCTGATGTTTCTTTAAACTGCCAAGAAAGAAAACTTACAGCTGTCCCGGAGGAGATCCCCCAAAATGCCGTTTCAATACAGCTCAGCCATAATCTACTTGAGGAAATTAACAAAGAGGATTTTTGTGGCTTTTTAAATCTGAGAATTCTGAACTTAGGATCAAATCAAATTGTTTCTGTAGAGGACGAATCTTTCTTCAGTTTGGTATCACTGAAAACGCTAAGCATGAGCTTTAACCAACTGACCAAACTGACAAGCGGCGTGTTTAAGGGCCTGTCTAACCTCACGGTGCTCAACCTCAATTCCAACAGCATTCAGTTCCTTCATAACTCAGCCTTCCAGTTCCTGATCAGCTTGCAAACCCTGGATTTAGGTTGCAATTTGCTCCAACAGATCAGTGACCTTCAGCCGATCTTACAGCTACCACAGATACAAACGCTTAACCTCGAATCCAATAACTTTTCTTCCTTTGAAACCAAAGATCTGCTGCTGAATATCTCAAATCTTAAAGAGTTGCAACTTCCTAGTGATACCCTGAAAGTTTTCAGCATCACAACTCCAGTCTTTCCTTACTTAGAAATGATAACCTTCGATACGTGTGGATTTTGCTCTAACCTTGAATGGGACATACCCGACAAAACCCTACTGAGGAGCATAACGCAGTTGTGTATTGCCGGGTCTGTTCTTTCCTTTGAAGGGGCCCAAAGAGTCCTGCAGAGTCTCGACTCACTGACGCATCTCACGTTATATCCATTGGACAACTGGTTGAAGAATGGAATCTTCTCTACGATCTGCAAAATACCAACTTTGCGGAAGCTGGATTTGTCCGGCAACATCCTTTACAATTTGACTTTTAAACTTGCACCTTGTTCTCAGCTCACAGAGATAGACCTGTCCAACAGCTGGGTTACTGAAATGCCGAAAGGCTCCATACAGTCAATGAAGCAGCTGCGGTCCCTGAATGTGAGTGAAAACCGACTCGTTGAGGTGCCAGTTGACATCAGGAGCCTCAGCTCTCTTGAAATCTTAAATATGAATAACAATCGTATCTCTGAGTTGAACTGTGAGGACTTCAGGGGCGCGATACATCTGAGAGAGCTTTCTCTGAACAGTAATCGAATCATTCACATTGATAAGTGTGTTGCTGAGCATCTTACTGATCTAAGGCTGCTAGATCTAGGTAACAATCATATTACAGATTATGACGACTGCTTTGAAATTGCCCTGCAAAACCTTGAAATCTTGGACTTGAGCTACAACGTGATATTTTATCATGAAGCAGAGGAGTTCCAAGCGTTAGAGTCTCTGAAATATTTGACCGTGGGAACATATTTTATTATGCAAGCAAAGCAAAACGATCACGGATCAAACGGTCTAGATGTTTTTCTGTCTCATGAGCATGACTATGAAGCTGCTTTCAGAGGTTTGCAGCACTTGGAAAGTCTCACGGTATACTTGTACGCTGACAATGTTTTCAAAATTCCTCATGCAACAAATGATGAAAATTATTTCCACTTCCAATCCTTGAAAACCTTCACAGTGATCTGCAGAGGTGATCGCCAAGGCGCAAGCTTTGACATCCCGCAGCAAATGCTCAACGCTATGGAAAATTTGGAAGTTTTAAAAGCAGTGAATATCTACAATGAGGCCCCACACAGAGAGACATTTGATTACAACCCACATATCACAAATCTGACATTAACAAAGTCCAATTTAAAAGATATGGACCCAAGAATATTTGTAACTATCCCAAAGCTGCAGAGTCTGGATCTTTCAGAGACTAATCTCATATCTTTGGATTTTCCACTTCAGGCCAATCTTACTGCTCTCAGATATCTGAAAGTGACTGACAATGAGATCAATGTGATTAATGAGAGTGTGTTCCAGTTTCTCCCCTCTCTAACATACTTGGACCTGGACAATAACCCGTTCACCTGTGAATGCTCAAACTCAGGTTTCATCCAGTGGATCAAAGAAAACAAGCAAATACAGGTGGTTAATGCTCATCAGTATAAATGTTCCTTTCCTGTGGACAAACGAGGAACCTTGTTACTAGACTTTCATGTCCAGTCCTGTTGGAACGATGGCAGCTTCTTTTACTTCATCTCCAGCTCTTGTCTGGTTGTTCTGACTCTCCTCACTTCCTTCGTCTACCACTTCCTGAAGTGGCAGCTAGCCTACACATTCCACCTCTTCCTGGCCTTTCTCTACGACAGCAGGCGGAAGAAGGGCGATCCTCATCAGTTTGATGCCTTTGTGTCCTACAACGTCCACAATGAGGACTGGGTTTACAGAGAGATGCTTCCAGTTCTGGAGGGAGAGCAAGGCTGGAGACTCTGTCTGCACCACAGAGACTTCCAACCAGGTGAACTCATTAATCCATGATATAAAGAGCTCAAACGTCAAAACTTCATCAGCAGATTTCTGTTTGAGTATAAGTAAATGTTTCAGTGAACAATTTTTAGGCAGTTGTATCATTTGGTTTCATCTTTTAGTCAATTGTTAATTTTTTATTGCCTAATTTTTATTAAAGTTTATGGAATATAAACAATTAGTTGTGTCCACAGGTAAACCCATCATGGAGAACATCACTGATGCCATTTATGGCAGCAGGAAGACCATCTGTGTGATCAGCCGCCACTACCTGCAGAGTGAATGGTGCTCCAGAGAGATCCAGATGGCCAGGTGGGGGCGCTGTTTTTAGTAGATTTTTTTTTTTTTTTAAAGAGGAAATGAGCAAATATTAATGCATGATTGTATTGGCCTGCGTTCCAAACAGATTAAACACTCCCAAAAACTCCTTGACCCTGGCAGTTAGTTAACTTGGGGGAGTGGTGGCGCAGAGGTTAGAAGATGGGCCTGTGATCGGAAAGTCACAGGTTCAACTCCCAGTACCGTCAATATTAAAAACGTGGATGGAAAAGGTGAAACACCCACACCTGCCTCCACCCTCATTCGCACCACTCTGGCTCCCTGAGCAAGGCCCTTAACCCCCACCACCACCACCACCACCTGCTCCCCAAACAGGTCACTCTTGAAAATGAGTTCTCGTGGCTCAATGAGACTACCTGTTTAAATACAGGATAAATAAATAAACTTCTGTGCAGTTTAATGAGAAACTTGTTAAACTGTTACACAACAAAAATAGTTGCAAATTACTTGCAGAATTAAAAATAGTGCTTGAGTAGTAGCGTAAATCCATTATCATAATAAAACATAAAACATATCTATAACGTACGTAAATGAATAAATGTACTTACAGACGATGCTTTAGCAAGAAGAAATAAACAATCTCTGAACTAAGGAGAGATGCAGAGTGCACACTACTGATGAAACTAAACATGTGCTAAATCACTTCCTGACTCCCAGCATGCATTTCTGACCAATCACAACAGGTAGAAAACTAAACCAATCACAGTGAACTTACCCAAACAGATACAGTAGTTCCTCGTTTTTTGCGGGGTTATGTTCCAGATCCCCACCCCCAATAAGTGACGATCCTCGAAGTAGCTACGTTAT